ATCCTGGCCAAGCTGAAAAAGACAAAGCCAGAGTTCAGAGACAGAAAGGACTGAGCTGAAATAGTCCCGCCCACAGCGGCCCAGGCTCGCTATACCTGTATAGCTATAGGCAGGATCTTGTTCCGTAGGTTTCTGTACAGCAGACACATTGGAGCTGCCAGGTACTGCTGCGTGTAGCGATCTGTGGAGTTTGCATTAATCCCCTCTAACACTTCGTAGTCCACTATGAATATGTTCCCTGCCTGGAAGCAGAACACTGCTTTAAAATGCATTCCAGCTGAGACGATCAAAAAGTTACAATTGTCAAAGAAAAGCCAAAACGATTAGTAAAAACTGAGAAATATCAACCTTAAGTTCCTGCTCCAGGGTCAAGTCCCGCTCCAGGCTAACAGAAACCATCTCATTCGTGACAGGGAACTTGTCAGGGAGTTTGGTGCATTTGGAAATCAACACTGGGTTGCAACCATTCAGAAACTGATACCCGAACATGAAGTCTTCTTTCCAATGTTGCATCACATACTCTGAAACGCAGGCAAACCAAATGAATTTTTAAACAGCTGTTAAATATGCTTTTTTATGAAGCCCACATTGCTGTACTAAAATGTTTTCCTTGATATGTCTAATGTTTTTTAATTGGGTGTAATCTGAAAGTCATAATTAACAGAAACAAATTAACTTCTCAATAATCTTCAATTTTACTGAACTTTATATGCACATAATTAACCTTAAAATGACACAGACTCACACGACGCTGCGCATAACTTGGCACAGCGCTTTGTACTGTAAGGCTATAAAACATAAAGTGATAAATATAACTTCATAAACAAATAGCACCATACAACATATTGTCACACAGTACACTTCAGAGGAGGGTATAGTATCTAAAAGTTGTGGTCATGTAAGAGCATCACTGCTTCTATTTTGACTCAAGTAAGTTGTAACTCATGAAATCACTGCTTACAATAGATTGTTAGAACAGGTTAAAGTGCTTCCAGTGACAATATCTACTTTTATAATATTTTATTGTTCAGCAGACAGAAAGCAACATTAAAACAATATAGCTCGCTTATTTACAACATGCCTCACTGTGACATAAACTCCTGCATTCCTGGTTAAAATATCATTGTTCTTCATTCAGTGAAGTTATTTGTGGCGGTCAGGGTAGCCTGATGTTTTACTCAAGTAGGAGTTGTATACTACAGTAAAGGTATTTTTAAAAGTTTTTTTTTTTAATATGTCAGCATAGCAAAGCATAGCTTATGTTGACATTGCCCACAATATAACATTGTACAAAGTAATGCGATGGTTTTAATTAATGTGAAATAGTTCAGTGTAGTGCAATGGAACATAACATAAACTGGCAGAACATAGTATAATGTAGCATAAACAGCCCAACATGGCTAATTGTAATTTAGAATATACAGCCTAACATAGTAGAGCATAAAGTATAGAGAAGCACAGATTAGCATAGCATGCAATTACAGTTTGTCTGACCTGAGATTGTGTTTTTTATTCTCACGAAGATTTTCTCAAAGTCAGCAAAGTCGCTCCATGAAGACTGAAACATGTTCATGAAGCTGTTCACACACAAGTTCTCTATTCTGAAACGACATCAACAGGATTCTTAATTTATTGATATTTATTTGATATTATTTAAAATTAGTTTGACTTACACTTCTCCCTCCCCCCAAAAAAATCTGACGGCTTAGACTTCTGATATTTTGTCGATTAGAGGCTCTGAGCATTTCTGGCAACACACTCGAAATAACAAAGCAGCTCAGCATTTCAACTTTTCATTTTACGAGTTATCGCACTTTTTTCCACAATATTCTTTTATACATTGGTTGTTTGTTATGACGCCTGTCAGCAAGTTGAAACATCTGCCTGAAAGCACAATGCAAATATCCCATGTGATAAACACACAATGACACAACTGTTTCTTTTCCCCAAGGCAATTTATAACATAGAAGCACACTCTGGGGCATCAGTTCTGCATCTGATTAAGGTTTCATGAAGGCCTTTCATTTTAAAAACACCCACATTGCAAATGCAGGCTAAGTAGCCGTCTTCATTGTACTGAGATAGACATAAACATAAAAAAATGGCCCCTTTATGTAGAACACATGGCTCCACTTACGCCTTACTGTAGTTTAGAATGAAGTCCACTCCCTTTTCACTGTCAAACTGGATGTCTCGGGGGAGGTCCCTGTGTCTGTTAGCATCAATGCTCAGAGGGAATCCAGGCTGCCACTCTTTCCATCTACAAACAGAATAAATGTCATTACAACAACCTGATCTCCTGCATGTTTTGAGTAAAACAAACCTACCTGAAGGTTTTTCTTCTCTGATCCAACTCTTTTTGTCTGTGCTGCTTTACTATACTGGTTTTATCATCCTGAGGCAGAAATGCTAGAAAAGATGCAAAGGCAAGACGAGGGCTTCAGCAGATGAAGTGAGGCGGAGATCGCTGAAGACAGACAGATTGGTCAATACCTCGTCCATCTCGCAGGACCACTTCCTTGTCGTCCACCAGCCAGCGGAAACAGGGAAATTCCACATAATCTCCACATGGGGTCTTGATGGTGACGTACCTGCAGAACCAGTCATCCTGCATCCAATATTTTTTCTTCTCAATCTTCACCAGTACAACATCACCCAAGTTCTCGTCAACTTTCACATCATATGAGTCAACCTGCAGTTTAAACAGAGGCTACTGTGAAGAACACGGGCTGTGGAAATGAGCTCACTCACTCAGAATCTGGCATTTTTAAAACAAGCAAAAAGAAAATTGTTAAAGAAAATTTCTCAGACCTATTTTTTGAAAGCAGTATGTGTCTAACAACATGTTCAACAACAGCTTGCATAGATCGAGACAAGCCAATGTGGTTTAGAAATGTCTCAGCCATTTGACTATATTTGTGTGTAGTACAGCGACATTCATGGATGGAATTACTTCCATAAAATGTTTCAGCTTTCTTATCTTTTATCTAAACCATGAAACAACCGTAACCGTAATGCCTTGACCCATTTTTTTTCTTAAAGTTTACTCCTACTACTGTGTACAACCAGTATCCAGTATCCAGTTTATTATTGTTATTATTATCTTTTTTATATCTTTTTTTGAGGAGTGTTGCTCCAGTTATGCTTGCCACAATACTCTCAGATTGCTTAAAAAAGGGTTTCCATAATTTGCTTTACTAGAAATTTCATGCAAAAAAAAATTTTTTTTTATTAATTATTCCATATACATATATCAATTTGTTTGGAGATTTATCAAGTAGTTTTTTTTTTATGTTTTATTTCTTTTTGTTAGTTTGACCTGCTTCATTCTGACATAAGCCTAAACTTATTTTCCTGCCACTGTGCCATGAAGCAATGCGTGAGAATGTAACTTTAAGGTTCCTATATTCAGTCAGTTTTACTGAATGTAACAGTCTCAGCATTGATTTAGACATAAAATGTCAGGCTGAATTTTGGATTGAAAAAGCGCAGTTAATCGAAACGTAAAAAAAGTTTTTTTTTTATAGTTCCTATTTTGGTTTCACATAGTTTTATTTATGCTTCTGATGTTAAAAACATTTTGTTATAATGTATCTGGAGAAGAGTCATAAAATTAAATTAGATTATAAAAAACATCTAGTGTTTAAAACATTAAAAATGAAGTAATTTCTATCAAAACATGGCCCTTTTTAAATTATAACCTGGTGCCATATGAGCAAGAAGAAGAGACGTCTCACCACCGGCTTTGTGATTTCCGGAAGTTCACAAATACTTCCTCAAATATCAAGTTTTAGTTTATTTTACAACTTCTCTCTTTTCCAACTACCTGGCCACTCACGTTTAAAGCACGCGTTGGTACAGAACAACAAAAAAAACAAACAAAAGAACAAAATTTGGCACGCGGCTCCCACTTTTCAGTGACTCCACTTACCGCCCCCCTCTCGAAGTCGTTGTAGAGGGGTTTGTCCAGCAGTGTCCTCTCGCTGCATCCCTCTGTACCCACCAGCGTGATGTAGACATAATCATCCGTCCCTGCAAACCACTGGCTCCCCGTGGCAACAGTTACTGTGTACGACGGCATGGCAGGTCACAACACACCAGGACCGAAAATGCTCAAATGCCGTCCAAAGGTGAAGAACCGGCAACTGTGGTACTCTGGAAAGGCTCTGGTTCAGGTGCAGCCCTGCCTTTCACTGATGTAGACTCAAAAATGCTACAGCAGTGCCTAATGAGCCCAAAAGAGGAAGGAGATTTATTACAGTCACCTAGTCACCAGTGTCTCCACCCTTAAACTGAAAAAAAAAAAAATTTTAATGCATTTTCCTAATGACATAAATGTGTCATCAGCTTGGAATGACATAGTGACTAGAGGAAAGGGTCTGCACAACTTCTGAAGGGGATTTTTCTATTTAGATTAATCAGAACTATGGTGAGGCGAGGTGTCAGAAGTATAAAGACATCATTGTACATTTATCTGAGAGGAAAACACAAACACACAGGCTCTTTGGAGAATATAAGGAAGTGAAGGGGCAGAAAGCCAGAAACAAAACTTGGTGCCATTGGAAAACATCCCAACCTGGCACTAGAAAGCAAGAGATAACCAATAAATAAATAAATAAAAATGCTAAATGTTCTTTTTTTCCTCTGCAGACAAAAATAAAACATAGCTATAGTTTTTAATCTGGATTTTATTCATAATAAGGAAATTAGTCTTCTGTCACACTCATTCATTTACCAGTCAAATTAGTGCATGTTGTCAAACAACAACAGGCAGTGTATTCCTGTTCCAGGGAAATAAATGCAAATGTTTCACTGAGTCCTGCCGTAACTTTAGCCATAAAACTGACATAAAGATTAACAGGAATCCTCCGTATGTTCGAAACCCACTCAAATGGAAAACGGAGAAGGCGGAAGGTGCAGCACAAAGGAGATGGTGTTGCACATCAGTTATTCAGCAACCCAAATGAAACTTTGAATAAATACAGAGAATCAGACGCTCGTCATTCTCAAAATGTTTTATCTGCTTTATGCAACATCAAACAGACTGAAAAGCATCTCTACAGAACATCCATGAATATCTTCAGAAACAGCAGCACTATGAAAAGACAGAGGCTCCAGACTTTATTCTGTTTCCTAGACGGCAGCTTCAAACTCTCAACAAAGTGCTAGATTACACTCCAGGGAAGTAAGGAACACTTACAATGAAAATGTGTTCATATTGAAATAAAAATACGTATTGCACTTCATTATGTTGGATGAATAAATAATAAAGTCTCCCTTTGTTCAATCATTTATGGATGCTTACTGGAGCTCTTTTCACTTTCTGTCACGCAACAACAAACGTCAACAACCTTCTACTGAGGTTTTATATTACAAACCAACACAAAGTAGCACATGATAGTGAAGCCAGATAAAAGAAATTATGAATAGTTTTCCATTTATTTATTTATTTTACAATGAATTACCTAAAATGTCTTTTGATTTCTAATTGAGGTCATGTGATGTGGTCAGGGGGATCTGCCATGTAGTCCAAAAACTGGGCTACATGGTGCATTGCTTATGGCCACAGTGAACTTGTCTTCTTATTGTTCTACTTCAGGATTGTCTTTTCTTTGTCACTCTTCTGTAAAAGTCCAATATGTGGACCACACAACTAATAATTTTCCAACTACAAATAGTCTCAGGTGCTTCTCTGATTACCACTTTGCTTTTTTCTTCCTCCGTTTGCTGGAAGGGGGTCAGACTACAGAGTCGAGGCCTGATTACGTTATTCATGGTGCTCCTGTCACATTTGTTTTAAAACCATGACACTGTTCTAGAGGCATTTCAAATTTCGACACTACTTTGTGTCGTTGCACGACACAATCTCACTAAAATACCTAAAGTTTTGTGGTTGTGACGCAACAATGTGGAAAAAACAAAGGGGGGTAGATACTTTAGCAAGGCACTGTGCTTTATTGTTCATTTGCAGTTAATTATGAACATGAACAGTGAACACCTTTCCTGTTTTCAGGAAATTAAGAGCTTAGTTTCTTCAAGAGCCTTTTTCTTATATAAAGCCTATTTGGGCTCCCTAAAATTATTAAAGACAAAGTATAGAACAAACAATAACCTACTAAGGTACGGACCGCTGTTAAGAGTTAAATAGTCTACTTTGCTGTCCATCTGAATTTAGATCAAGCTGTAAATTTCTTCTTTCTTTTATATTTTGTCAAAGAAATGTAATCATTACAAAGTAATAGGTAGTAAAAGCCATCTCACTTGACTCTGAAATTTGGGGTTTATCAAATAGAAAATAGCTACTGAAACAGCAGCAATAAATTCTGTTTTGTTGTGTCTGATCAGGCCAAATCAAGCATGTAATGTCTATGTATGAAGTTTGCAGAGTGCAGGGCTGGATAACCATTTACATCCTGTTTCAATACTGCCACCCAGTGGCAACATGTTGCTAAAGCAATAAATAAAAAGCTTCAGTGCAATTTAAACCTGAGTTTTCTGTAAAATATTATGGTTGTACATCAAGCAACATCATCACAGCTACAAAAGACTCACTCTTGACATTAAATGCATGTTAAGAAACATGAACATGTCTTTAGCAGTATTTAAAACCGAAACAAAAATTGCTCCATCTAAGATCTGAAAATAAAATAGGCCATTTTGAAATAATGTAGTGATGTCATGTGGCACGCACAAACAGTATTTGTGCTGATTTGCACTGAGAAAGCAAAAAACAAACAATTTTTACAAATTGCAAAAGTAAATACCGCTTCAGTCAAGGATGTACAAAGACATCATAAATGTCACAATTTAGCAGTAGCTACCTCTTACATCAACTTGGTGAAGCTAGCAAAAAAAAATAAAAAAATAGTGTGAGGATATAAATGAGCTGCTGCACAATGACACTCATAATAATTTGAAGAACAAAAGTCAATTATTTCATTCAGCAGAAAGAAAAAATATGTGCTTAAAATTATTTAAATTGTGATAAATGATTAAAGTATGATTGAGTTTGCTAAACATTCCAGGGCTACTTTGGTGCTGCTTGATCAAGAAATGGTAAGAATGTTTTAAAACAAAAATGTTTTCAGTAATGATGCAGATGAAGGAGAATAACAGCCTCCTGCTGTTCGACACTATAGTTCTTTTTCCTTTTTCTTTATTAGTGACTCTCCTGGTTTCTTTGGGGAGCTGACCAACAATAAGACATACCGAGCGAACTCGCTGATTGAGCGAAACACGAAAGCAGGTCGGGTCAATGATCTGTCGGCTCAGGCTCAGGAGGAGACTAGTTCAGATGGAGGACTTGCTTCATGAACTCGTAGGTGGTGAAGGCCATGGCTTGTGAGGGCACGCAGCGGACGTAGTTAAGAGAAAGACCTCGGTAAAGTCCTCTCTTGATACCATATGTGTTATACACATACTTCAGAGTCTTGAAAGGTGATCTGGGCACATGCAAGACAAACCATAATTTTATTTTCACAATGGGACCCAAATAAGGAATAAAACAGAATCAAAGACAATTTTCTGTTTGCTTTGAGAGCAAATATTTCAAGTATGCAGGGTGTCATTTGGAGTCTTTAAAAACGTATTCTAAAGCTAAATGAAATCTCTCAGGGCTAATAAAACTTTAATATTTCTGACTAAGAGAAGTAGTTAAAGTGAGAACAATGACTTGTGTTTGGAAAAGAATTCAATGAACCTTTTCAGGAATGAATGGTATGTTGCTGGAGCCTGACGACTCAGAGTGCTACTTAGATTTAAGCTTGTTTTATAACATAAAAAGCTCTCAACTACTTGGATACTCACACATGGCATCATGTTGCAACCACACATTTTAACACATTTCACTTGGATTTCATGTGATGGACTAGCAAAAAGTAAGGCTGCAAGATATTAGGTAAGTCAGATAGCCATATGAGTAAAGATATATAAATAACCCCAAGACAAAACATAGACTACAGACAATGAGTAATCTGTACAGCTATTTAGGAAAAACTTCAAAGTAAACCAGTCAACGTTTCCTCAGGCTATATATGTAGAGTTGCTATTCTATTGGAAGGTGAACCTCTACCAGATGTTCAATTACCAACCAATACATTGTAGTTTTTTGGTCTTTAACAATAACTACATTTCTGACACGCTTTCATAAAAGTCAGATTAGTGGAGTGCATTATTAATGGCTGGACTTTCAACAAATTCACTCAACAACTTAAATGTCTTGGTAGGTCTCGAGTTTTGCTGCATTTCATTTTCGGATGATGGATTGAACAGAGCGCTGCAAGTTGTTCAGTTGTGAGATTCTTCAATAACACCAACCTTTGCTATAAGCACTTACTAAGCTTTATCCCTGACCTGTCTGGTGAGTTCCTTGGTCTTCATTAGGATGCTTCTTCACTTTCTAACTAAACTATGAGGCATTCACAAAACAGCTAAACTTATACTAATTAAGTGACAGCTAAAGGGAGTTGATTGCGCTGGATTTTTAGTTAGAGGTATCATGAAAATGGGGTTAAATGTGAAAGAAAAGCCACACTTTTCATGTACATATTTGTAAAAAGTTGCTTAAAAATATATGTTTCCATTAATTGAAAAAAAAAAAAATAATAATAATGTAGCTGAAACATGAAAATATGAGGGGACAAAAAAAATAAATGGCTATTTATTCAAAGCAAACCATTTTATATTCATAAATGTATTAATGAATATATTTACAAAATATTCATAAATAATTTGCAAATATTTATGAATTTAAAGAACTTAAGTAAACATTCTGTTTTAAGTGTAAATTTAGAATGACAAATTCTACGACAATATTCTTGAATCAATATTCAACCATTTCCACAAAAGAAAAGTTGTGATATCATCTCACTGTAAAACCAAACCATGACAAGTCAAACCAGCAGCGATACTCACCCACATTTATCTGAATCAGGAAGCACAGTTCCTAACTGCATCCTCCTCCTTGCCACATCCAATGGGTAGCTGGTGAGGAAAGTCCCATTATAACACAGAAACCGCGTTTGACTCAGTCGGAGCTTAAAAATTCAACACGTCCATTAAGAAAAGCACTTACGAGACAGTCTGAGCGAAGGCACCAGCAACCCCGCCACAGAGCAGGTTGATGTGGGTTTTCAGAACGAGCACATCCGGGTTGTCTGACGAGGGGTGGCCCAGCTGCTCCGGGAAGTGCTTTAAGCCTTGACTCTTCAGGGTGCCAAAGGTAAAGAAGGAGAGACCTTGGAGGATGCAGAGAGAAATAAGAGACAGGCTAAACATATGGAGGACATTATGCATGACATTTGCAAGTCCCTTTGAATAACAAAATAAATGCACCAAAACTCACCTGCATAAGGCGCCATTCCAACAAGAGTTGGAGACAGACCTCTATAAAATCCAGATGCTCCCTCCTGTGGAATGGAGTTAACAGGTAAACATAGAGTAAGCAGATACTTACAATGTAATGTAACATTTTAGTTAAGGTTAGTAAAGTTCGCCAACAGTAAGTCACCTTGCGATAAATGGAGCGGAAAACATCAATAATTCCAGAGTAGCGTTGATCACCCTTCACCTGGAAGGCCAGCCGGGCTCGGACCACGTCCAGAGGGTAGGTGCATATCACCGCAGTCATGCCTGAAAACACATAACCAAAGATCATGAGATCACAGTGGAAAAAAAAGAAAGAAAAGGCAACAGTCTAATAACACTATCTGTGCCAGTAAATCAAGGGCACCGTGATAAGAGGTCTCTCAGTACCTGCCATAGATCCTGCCATGAGGTGATGGATGTGTCCAGAGATCCCAATCCGTTTATTCAGCAGCTATGCAGAAATTATCAACAATAATCCATCAAAATAATGCCTACACGGAAACACATTCATAAACATAAAACATAATGCTGAACCAGAGAATTAATGATAAAATACTCGCTTTACCTTTTTATATTTGTCAAAGGCCATGAACTGAATGGCTCCGTAAGGAAATATCCTGACCATCATTGCACCATTACCCCTGTACAGACCAAGGATGCCTTCTTTCTTTGGCACAGCCATGAAAATGGAAAACACCCCTAAAGAGAAAATTCACAAGACTCACTCTGGTCATAAACTAACTTGTTGGAGTTAATTTGTTTGTTTGGTAGTTAGTCAGTATTTTACCAAGATGTTTGTAATGGGGGCTCTGGCCCTGAAGGAGAATTTTGACTCTGTCTAGGGGGGCGATGGTAGTCTTCGCACAGCATCCTGCTACCCCTGTAAGCAGAACTCATACATGAACATGTAAACAAAATGTTATGCTTCATGCATTAAAATACAAACGTCTCAATCGCAGCTTGTGCAGCATATTTCATTATTTTTTCCTGTGACATTGTGGTATTTTAATTAAAGTGAGAATCAAATTCAGGTGTGCATGTATGTTGAAACGCTAGCCATTGAACATCACTATCCTGTTTACTGGCTGTCCTTATTTATGAAAATAGGGGAAAAAAATAAATATTCCACATGGTCAAAGAGTTTGATTTCAATGATATCAAAAGGAAGAACTCTTTAACCACCTGTCATTAAATTTATTACACAACTGATTCTTTTGGTCACAGTTTTCAGTTGTCATTATCATTATTAGTGATTTCATTTACCATACTCTTCTTTTTAATCATTCCATTTCTAATCATTTTGACAACCATGTAGGAAACTGGGAGCTTTTCATCTAATAAACTCCATCTATTCTAGGTTAATCTGCCTAGAACACATGGATCACTCCCCTCCCCCTTTAACCTACTGGATATTTACATAAGCTTGGGATAATCACCATACCCTGGCAGCAGGACAGTCTCATCATATTCAGTGCTATTCTACTTTTATATTATCTGATATAGTTTTACAAATGAATATCCATTCCTGTATTACGTCACAGGGTTTTTTTTTTTTGTATGAAAGGGCGATAAAGCAATATAGGAAGTGATTTATACAAATGATATCATTTTGTATAAGATAGAATCTTCCCAAAAACTGCCCTGAACATGATTAGTATTATATCATACCTCCAGCCACAAAGGAGCGAACCCAGTAGTAATCTCTTCTATCAGGTACACTGGTGCTGCTAGTAGGGGAAGGTGTGGAGACAGCAGCCATCCTCTCTGCTCAGGAATCTGACACATCCATGCCTGCCAAATTCAGTGAAAGCACTGTGAAATATAAACCATTGGATCTAGACGAATCATAAAACACATATCAAAACTGCAAAATTATCTTCATCCAGAAATAGCAAACCTTTCATAACATATTAACTGAAACTTAAGCGAAACTAGAGCTTCCTGAATGATTTCATTTATCTTTGACCAAAAGTTGAAAGCTGCTTTCACAGACCAAAACAGTCACACTGGCTACAGGAAATGTGTGTAAAGTTACTGTCAGTGATTAGCATTAACGCCCACACGAAGCTTCAACTAAATGACAACACTAAGTGACAGCTGCAATAATAATAATAATAATAATAAAAGAGATACTTACAAGCTAATGGGAACAGGAAAGCAAACAGTCAAAGCAGCGTCAATAGTGAAGTTTAACTTTCGATGGAACAAGAACCTGCACCTTCACAGCTTTCCTCCATCTTCTTCTATACAAAATGACTTCAGGGACAAAGATTGCTACGAGCTACTGAACGGCTTGTGACGACTGCGTCGTAAAACAAATTTGTGACTGAGACACGGTGAAGTGGCTCAAAATATGAGAAGTTACAACATCCGTACCCTTCGCCCTCAGACGACCAACGGATACCGGTCATAAACAGTCGCAGGGTAGTGACGTAAGGCGATGTTTCCGGTTGCGGAGGTGGGCGGGACCGTAGACTGTGTTTTAAATGATATGGTAGTCTTAATACTGACTGTATCTTTACTATTATTTATTGGTACTTTATTTAAACGATTACATATGTAAATATCTACCTAAACAATGACGTGTTTCCTAGAACAAATAATAATAAAAAAACACAATCAAATCTATCAATTTTTAAGCTCCCAATTTCCAAGATATGCATTCCAAATACTTAGATATCCGTTTAATACTTGAGCTGCTGCTTTGTACAGTTATTTAGTACAAAACCTGAAATTATACAGAATAATGGCTATGAGAACAATGCATATGGAGCGGTCTTTTGTATGAATAATCAGGAAAAATCAAAAATATGACAAAAAATATATATCTATTGAAACTGTACCTTGTGGTTTCTTATTGCAAAATTTCAAAGTAGTGCAACAATTCTGATTTTTGTTTTGTTTTGTTTTGATATTGCTTTCAAATCAGATTTTGCGTAAATAAACAAAGCTTGAATGCTTTGGTGTGCTGATACACGTTTACGGCAGCAACTAGAGTTTACCTGGTGTGAAACTCTAGAGTCCAATCAAGCATTCATTGAGCTGGTGGCGGATTGTTGCAGCCACAGAAAACACATCACACTGACACAGGACATCCAACGAAAGGACTGATGTCGTTTGGAGTGCAGGGACGCTCCTGAATATTCTTGTTGTCTCAGTGGCCACGTCGGTCATGGTGTTGTCTGTTGGAACTGCGGCTTATCTAAAACTGAACGGAAGCGGTTAGATAAACTAATTAGGAAGGGCTAACAATGTCTTCCAACCCATGCAAGAAGCTGTTACTAAAGTGGAGAGTGACAAACTGCTGCATCATCAGCGCACAAAGGACCGTTACTCAAAACAGCTGCCTGTCAACCATAGATCCCGACAAACTTAAACCCAGTAGGCGTTTACATCCTCGCTTTTATTATTTGCAGAGTTTTCCCCTCATATTGCATCAGTATTGGTTGCACAAATTCTTGTAAATAGTTTATTGTTATTATTTAGGCTATTTACAAATGTCCCGGTACATTTCATACGTCATCCTACTCCGTTGCATGATTCTTTGAATCTGAGGAAGCTATAAATGTTAAAAAATGAGTGTTATATGAAATCAACTCTTTTTGAGCTATATGTTATGCTATAATGTTATTGAAAACACGCCTGGGGTGTTGCTTTTATTCTTTCATACATGTTTGAGGAATCATTGAATCTCATGGCAGCCATCTGGGGTGTCTTAACGATCTAAAAAAATCTCCTCCTTGAATCTCCCAAGTTCGCCCAAGCTCCTCGAAACTAGCGGCAGCAGGTGGAACTGTGAGTCTGCTGACCGTGTCACAATACTGCATCTCAGTTCAATTCTATTACTATATGGCAAACATATCGGTCCTTTAATCATTTTTATGCAGTAAATTGTCACTTAATGTACAGTATTTTATTTATTCATTTTTGTTATAAATCTAACCAAACCACAAACTCCAACGTATCTTCTGACATTTTATGAGATAAGCTGTAACTGTGGAGTGCAAAAAACAAAACAAAACACACACACAGAAAAACTTTTTATTAACTGTGTCATAAACCGACATATCACGAGGAACAAAAAAAATGTTTCTAAAACTTTGCGAGTTCGTTTGATTGACTGGTTACTGTTGACACAGTCCTGCTGCGTTCACGTGTCTGTACTCCATTTCGGGTTTTCCAGTCCTCACGAGGAGCTCGCGGCCAGCTCAGAGACAGTGGGCTGCGTCTGGTGGAGGGAGAGCGAGCGGGGCTGCCCTGAATGGATTGACAGAAGAGGGATTTACATTTCAACGTAGCGTCGTGCTCCGCAAAGACTTTTACACGGTAGCGCGGCTGGGAAAAGCGGCGGTTCTGCTCGGCGCCCGTCCCCGGCTTGTCGGTACTGGTATCATGTCCATGTGTCACCTCCGGGAGCGGATTGAACTTAGCAGCGGTCTATATTTACCGAGGAGGGAAACCAATACAAGGTCTCGCCGTCTCGCTGGAGCGCAGTATTATTAGCGGTCCAGGCAGTGCAACTGTCTCTCCCTCCCTCTCTCTCTCTCTCTTTCTGCGGTATGTAAAGCATTTCGGTCGGTAAACGTGTAAATAAAAACGCACTCGGGTCAAAGTAGTAATTGAGGGCTTTGGCGAAGCGAGGTTTCCAGACGCGCAGTGCTTCGTGTTATTTAAATGACAGCGGTCAAGTGCAAAATAATAATAAAGAGCGACGCTGAGGGCGGTTTTTACACAGTAATAACCCCCTCTTCCGCCAGCCAGGAAGACGAAAACAGGATCCGACCTCCGGACAGAGCCCTCTCTCCTCGACGGGCCTGCCCTTTAACATGTTAAAGCCTCTCCATGTTTGTTTTATGGACTTCGTCTGATTATTTCTCGTCTTTTTGTTTTCCTGTTTACGGCTTTATTGACGTCAGCCCCTCGGCACATGCACATCCGAGTGGCTGTTTTAGGAGGGGCAAAAGTAAAAACAAATGCAGTTGGATTTAAACAACTGATCTGTAAGAACTTATTTCAGTTTTATAGCATTTAAACTTTGTGCGGCTATTATTCTTATTTGTGTGTCCCTTCTGTCTTTGTAGGTGATGCTCTGCAACTGCCAGCTAACATTCATTATAATTTACAATTCGAGGATAAATCATAACAGAAGAAGACTTTAAGATTTATTATTTTTTTTCCGAGAAAGAAATAAAACAATTACCTGGCTCCCATGCTGGCTGCCAAAGGTCCTCTCCTTTACACCCTCAGCCATGCCTGCACCTACCAACCCAACCAGGAGACAGACACCTGCTCAGAGAAAAAAAGCCCAGAGAGGGACCAGCACTAGGGGCCAAACCTGTAACACACAGAAAACACCAGCAGAATCCACACGGTCAACTTCGAGAAGCAACCAGGCCAAATCAGGCCGGAGTCCACGTGGAAGCGGGAAGGATCTCAGGAGGTCCCCTGGCAGAGGTAACCATGCCGGAAATGTAACGGGATCTACTAGACTTAGACGGTCGAGCAGTGTGCCCGAAAACCCCCTCAGACCGAGGAAGTCCCTACGGGGAACGCGAGTGTCTGTTGCTCCCTGCCAGTCTCCGAAAGGGTTCACAGGAGGGAAAAACAGCAGGAGGGGGAGCAGTGGGAGAAGAGCTGCATCCCGGCAACAAAACACAAGTAACAAGCCCTCCAGCATCAGCATCAACAATCCTCCTCCTGATGGAAAAAATGAGAAACCAGACAACAAAGAACCCTCCAGAATGTATCATGAGGCTGCCGTTGAAGCTGCGGCAAGTCTTGAGCCTAACGAAGCCACAGAGGGCAGCTCTCTGGAAACTGACACACGTGGAGGTGATGTGCAGCACAGCTGTGACAGCCTTATAACTGAAGATGAAAAGTCTTTCAGCAATAACAGTGAAGGGGACTTGAAGCCAGCTCCTGAGGTCACAGCTTGTGATGACAGTGATGGACGGGTAGCTGATGGGAGTGGAGATCACACCTCTGGCTTGTCAGAATTAACAGGCAGCGGCTCCCCGGGGGCACAGGGCAGCAGTGAGAAAAATGACACTTCATCTGTCCCTGGTAATGAGCTTGATCATCTTGACAGCAGTGGTATGCAAGATGATGGGGGGGCTGTCCAACAAAAGGAGGGTGAAGATCAGGCCATGAAAGCGAGTAGGACAGATGAGAAGGAGTTGGTTGTCAAAGAGAGAGACGTCGAGAGTTTGGAAGCAAAGACGGAGGTTGAGAGACAAGACCAGACAATGAGAGTGAAGGGAGAAATTGCTGTGAAGCCAGGAAGTAGTGAGAGTGAAGACATTTGGGAAAAAGACACTCAGACCAACACTCCAACAAGTCAAAGCCCAGATCCAACTCATTGTAACCCACTGACAGCACAGTCTGAGTCCCCTGTGTGTATATTCTCCAACGCAGCTACCTCATACCCCACCAAAGCTCTCTCCACCTCAGATTTATGTGAGCTGGAGGTTGTGAACCAGGCAAAGACAAATTTTCAACCAACCGTTCATGGTGCTAAGCCTCAACTCGCAGGGTCTTCGACTAACTCCGATGCTGCTCTGAAGGTGCAGACTGTTATAGTGACGAGAAGTACTCCGGTTATCATCTGTCGGGACTCTCTGCAGCCAAGAAGTCTAGGGAAGTCTGATCTAAGAAAAACGCCTGTTGCTGGGTTAGAGAAGCACGCTTGCACACCGGGAAAGACCAAAGACGAAGGTGAAATATATAAAGAGCCACAAAAAGAGAAGTCCTTTCCCTCCTTTGTGCTACTTACTGAGGCAAACACCAAACCCCCCACAGGAAAACATGAACCAAACTTTGTTGTGGATGGCACTCAGGCAGCAATGCCAGAGTATGACCCTGTGCCAAAGTTTTCGACTTCCTCCGTAGACAGCAGCTCCACTTTGTCCTGCTGCTCGGAAAGCACTCGTTCCTCGTTTTCCTTTGACACCGAGTCAGAGACCGGGTGCGGCGATGCCAGCTTCTCCGCTCTGCCGGGATCCTGGGGGACTGAAGGGATGGGCTCGCTCGCCTGCCCGACTCTGACATCAGATAGGAAGGAGAGGAAGAAACGCAGCAGGTGTGGGGCGTGCGAGCCATGCCTCAGGAAGATTAACTGTGGTCAGTGCAGCTGCTGCCTCAATCGCAGGACTGGCCACCAGATCTGCAAGCTTAGGAAGTGTGTGGAGCTGAAGAGGAGAAGATCTTCATCTGTAATCAGGCAACGTGATGCACAGGTAGGACATATAAAATCTTTGTGACCCTGTGTGAATAACAAACGTTTGTCAGACAATGGATTTTACGTTGGGAATAAAATGAATTTACACAGATCTTCTGCAAACAGCTGATCGGAGATGGTTTCTGCCCTGTGGCATCGATTCTTGTGATCCCTGAGGTTTCCTGCCCACGGATAACAGCGATGATTGAGAGTT